GGTTTAACATGCCCAGATGCAGTTTTATAGAGAAAACAGACTAGAAAAAGGTTTAGATACCAATCATAGATGGCAGGACCAGTGCTGAAGTGAAAGGAAATATCTTAAAAAAATCAACTTATCTATGTCCAGGTCTACTGGATATGGGACTGGAGATACGAAAATGGGATGAAAACAATAGTTTTGTTGAATTTTAAAGTTGATTTTGTGTAAGATTAATTTTTCCTAAAAAATAAACTTGTAAAGTGATGGAATTAGCACTTAATAAACCCATTCTTGATGGGTACGCCTTTAAACACCTTTTTGCACAAGTTACCAAATTACATTCAAAATTTAATTAAACAACTTTACTATCAAATGTATGTGAAAGAAATTAACATTATAATGTATGTTATGATTTGAAGTTTTATGTTATCTAAATTTTAGTTCTTTTATTTCAAAAGAAACCTTTAAAAATTACTTAAACTCCAGTTTTGTATTGTCACATGACCCATAAGCTATGAAAAATATCAACTTTCACACTTCCTGTCTTGATTCAGATAATGTCAGTCTTGTAGTTGTATGTCTAGACAATTATGTACTTTAACTTGCCCTATTCACACGTAAATTTCCAGTCCTCTAGTTGAGTAGAGTAGAAACAAGTAATAAATTTTATCAACCCCTAACAGGTGCCACTTTTGCTTGAGCTTTATAACATGAATGTAGTTGCTAAATATACATGTATATAGTCATTAGAAAGAGCTCATTTTACACTATAAGACACCAATGGTTACTTTGAAATTGGCCCACAGTTGTCATTATCTAGTACATGTAACTCCCTGTAGTATTGTTGGCTGCTTGATCTCTGATAGCACTTACAGTTCTTTCTTAGATAAATAATGTTATAGTTAGAGAGACAGTGAAGTTGTATTTAGGTCTTATTTTTATATCTTAGTTAATTATGTGTTATTCATGTGTTAAAATGCATAATTGAAAGGTTTAAGCATTTTTTAAATATACATCATATTTTGCATCAGTTCTTAAGGCTGAAGATCTTGTGCTAGGGGGAAGATAATTCTACCAAAGGCCTGTGCACCTCTGCTGAAGATCCTGCAATTATGCCCTGAGGGCACTGTTGACTTGTGCCAAGATAAGTAATAACAAGTAAGGGGCAGGAAAGGAAAAAAAAAAACATTAAAAATTAACCATATGTGAAAAGAAAAAGACCTGAAATTATTAATATAACCAAAAGAACATCTTTTAAGATATTATACAACAAATTAAAAGGTATGTACATTTTTTATTTCTTAATTTTAAGCATTTCATTGCACTGTATATTGATGATAATATCTACAGTTAGTGATAAAGGACAGAAAATGAAAAATAAAATATAAACATTTACCTTAAAAATCTTTTGATATTCATTTAGGAGGTTCTAGAAGTTATGAAAATGAAATATGAACTAAGATCAAGAAAAGAATTTTTTACTTAAAATGAGAATCATCTTGTACTCATACTATTAAGAGTTTGAGTGCAAATAAGTACAATAGCTAAATACGATATTCTTAGTAGAAACAATTAAAATCATATCATTCTTTGTGTACAAAATACTTATAATCTTTAACAAAATCTTACCAATTTTTTGTGAGGATACATTAAGAAAACTCACAATTATAGTGAAATTCATATATAGCCCCCAGCAAATTGCAGGGGCCCATTGCAAAAGGGTTAAAAAAGGTTTCCTGCTTTGATGCAGAGAAAAATTCAAAGAAAAATTGGAGAATCAATTCTCAAGTGATGAAAATAAGGTGCTAAGACTGATAACCCTAGTAAAAATAAAGGAATCAAAGTTAAATCGAATGTAAGGCCTGAATTTATACAAGTTGTTCCCATATACATTAAGATGATGATACTGGAAAAAAACTTCCATCTCGAAAATGTGATGAAGAAAAAAAAAGCAAACAAACACCTGAGAACTATCTCAAGTTTAAAGGAGACTAAGAAATATCCTGGTTCAAATCAAAAATCCACAGCTAATGAAACAAGCTGACTCTGCAAAATATGATCAAGAAAAAAAAGACTGCTCTGTTGTGGAACAACTAGTCAAAAAATTGCAACATCAATGTTAATAGATTGAGTTAGAAATTCCAAAATGGAAGGGTTAGAGATTACTATTAAAATTGATATTAGTTAGGAACTAAAATGATGAACAATAATTAAGAAACAAATACACTCTCACAGCATCAGAACAAACAATGAAGTAGCATGTGTGAACTGCACAATGTGCCAAGAGAAAGTCCAAGGATAAAAGACCTAGAAATTGTCAATAGAGGTTACAAGACATGTCATTTCATTTGTAATATTCTTATGTGGAATGAGAGTAGCACAAAATTACAGATACAAATTGGGAAGAGTAATTGAGAGAGGAGAGAATGAAGAAAATAATTTTAAAAAAGGTGTAATATTTGGCTTATAGGATACAGCTCAAAATAAGTGGTACACCACTGTAGTTGACTTCAAATTTTTGTAGAACTGTGTTACTCATTAGAAAACATACATTTTTTTCTTTACAGATCCAAAGTTTTTTATAAACAATAAATGACAGATTATTGCACTGTTGAGAAATTTTTCATTCCATATAAATAATTTTACGTTACTAATTGTTAACTGTAATATTAACTACTGAAAAAATAACATACATTTTTAAAGATAACAATAAATACTTTCTCCTTCAGTTAGTGACATGACTAACATCTGTAACTCTACATAAAATATCTAATTTTTTAAAAAGTTAAAATTGTTAAAACTTTCATAAAAGAAATTTTAAATATGATCAGCATCAAATGTTGGGCAATAGTGGTCCTATAATTAATGATTAACAATGACTGAAATATAGTTCAACTGTATATCTATTTTTGGTATAAGATCAAACAAAAACATCCAAATTTCTTGTGTGCTACTGTTATGACAATAACTTGAAAATTATCCATTAATTATTAATGACTAATTAAGCTGAGAAGATACTCTTCAAATATTATAAGCCTTATGTACAATATCAAAGCTATTAAAGGTTTACCAAAAAGTAATATCAGAGCAAAATATGTTAAGTTTTTGTGAATTAAAGATAATTTAGTAAAGTATTGGTATTAAAAATTTTTTTTAAAGACCTTTTCAGGACTTTACCTGAGCCATTATGGTTTGTAGTGCTACCTGGCTCAAAAGTATTGACCAGCATCAAATTAAAACCAGTCAGATCCATCCACAATAAAATTGCTCAGCAGTGAGAAATTTGTTTATTCTTTATAAAATCTGAACACAAAGACAGATGTCATATACCATACATAAAACTATCACACATTCATATTTCAGAAATAAAATAGTATTTGACCATTTTTTGTAAGATTGTTAATTTTGGCATGTATGGGACCATCTGGTTGGTGCACTTTATATCAAATAAAAAGTGTCAAAACTGTAATGATATATAGAATTGCACATATATCTGTATCTGGTAGCTTAAGATACTACCAGAGGGTTTTGAAGAAGGTAACAAACCCATTAAATCACGAGTCATGAATAAGCAATTATATTTATAGAAGATACTGTAATGTAACTAATTATAGTCAGTACAATCCAATTTATAAGAAGCCTACAAGATACATTAAAGGTGATTAAATAGTGATTATAACCAACAACAGCCAATATAAGTTGATTGTGACTATTCACTCAGATGTATACTTAGGAAGAAATAAAATAATCCAATATAAAAACCTAAAGTTATTTAACAGGAGTGTGAAATTGGTTTGGTTAAAAATTCAGAAATAACTCCAAAAGAAAACAAACTGAAAATAGGATACAGACTAATGCAACATTTCAGAAAAGTTATTTTTTTCCCTCAAATTATAAATAATCAAGAATCCTACATACCAAAAAAAACTTGAAACAATGAATGTTGGGGAAGATTGTTCAAGATGTATTTAAGAAAAACAATGCAAAATATGTTAATTTAACACAACATATTCTCACAGAATACAACTTTACATGTGTCTGTTCTTTCACTGTTGCCCTAACATATATATAAATATACCGTGACATCACAAGCTGCACATCTATTGTAACAACATATAATAAAGTGACGCAAGATGTAATAACTAACCGGTTTCGTTTTTATTTTTCCAGGGAAAGCCCTGTTTTTTACAGGATAATGAACTTAGAAAGTCATTTTGAGGATATACTATAATAAAAACTATTTTCTAAACATCTTCACAGTTATTAACTTGACTTGAAGTAAAATGTAATGAGGTTATTGCAAAAGCTAAGGTAAAAGAAAAAGGATGTGGAGTACAGTACAAAGTTACCTGGTATGAACAGGAAGAAACCATTTCACCTTATCATTTCCAAACACCTGAATGAAGTTCTGATATCTTCCTATACTAAAACCATTTTTATCTGGACCCATCCTAAAAACTGGTGGTCTGAAAGACTCTAGAACCATAAATAATAAAAATACAATTATCTTTTATTATATGAATATATTATTTTTTAAGTAATTAAACTAGTTTTAAAGATTACAATACTTTGGATTGTGCTATAATACTAAAACTTTTAATTGTTACTGTGAAATATTTCTTATCACTAATTCTAAGTGTGATCCATATTGAATAATTTTGTTTTTTTCCTGTTTTGATCAGGCAAAAGAACTGATCAAAATGTTGGATGAAATCAACCTTCCTCTATGTAAACTACATAGGAAACCCAGGGAGTAATTAGTTTAATTGTTTGCAATACTGATGGCAGTTTCATTTATTTTTTCATGAAACTCGTATGTTATTAGGAATCATGCAAGGAATATGAATCATAAATAGATTAGAAAATGTGTTTAAAGGGTTAACTTCACTGTTACCTGAAAAAGAATACATTTAATTTCAAATATATTGAAGTATATTAAGATATAAGCATCACATACACATAAGAGAGGAGCCATTGAGAAACTTTAAATGGATTACATCTTAAGTTAAAACACTGTATATATATATATAAATATAAGGAACAACTCAATTATTTAGACATTTTAAAAGATTAAATGTTTCTGATGCCAAAAACTCTTAGTAAGGTTAGTTTTATAATAAATATTGGTCAGCAAAGAGAGAGGAAACAATTGAAATTACTGAACATCTTTGTAATTACAAAGAAAATATTTCTATAAGAAAGTTTTCAAATTTTATTAACCTCAGTTCTTTCTCAAGAGAAAAACAAACAAAAAAGCTGAACTTACCTAGTGTTGATCTTACAATTACTAGGTAACAGTGAAACACAGTCAGACACTAGACTAACAACAAACATAACTATCACAAAATACAAGTTGAACTTACCTAGTGTTGATCTTACAATTACTAGGTATCAGTGAAACACAGTCAGACATTATACTAACAACAAACATAACTATCATAAAATACATATTGAACTTACCTAGGGTTGATCTTACAATTACTAGGTATCAGTGAAACACAGTCAGACACTAGACTAACAACAAACATAACTATCATAAAATAAAAGTTGAACTTACCTAGGGTTGATCTTACAATTACTAGGTATCAGTGAAACACAGTCAGACACTAGACTAACAACAAACATAACCACTATAAAAATGTAGTTGAACTTACCTAGTGTTGATCTGTTTGCAATTATGAGATAACAGTGAAATCCAAACAGAGATACGAGACTGATAGCAAACATAACTGCTACAAAAAACAAGAATAGAATGTGGAACTTCCCATATCCTTTCAAGTTGTTCTAAAAAACATAAAAAAAGTGTTCAAAAACAGCAAATCAACAGAATGTACTAAAAACAATTATAAGAGAACTTTTATACATAACAGCTTTGTTTGACAGTCACTTTTTATATATTTCATCAAAGTTCAAAGTACTCCACAGAAAAACATCAACAAATCACAGGATTTTATAACAAATGTTATTTGAGCTCTACCATGCAGAATAAGTAGGAAACTTTATACTGTGTATTTATTAAAGGTTACAAATGTATAAATGAAAACTATTCAGCTTTTACAATGGTTATTCACTTGTTTTGGATATTCATGCAAAGCCTCATAAGGGTTATGACACTAGCAATGGATTCATCATGGAGAAAACAAAGTATAATAAAAAAGTTGAAAATGGTTGATAAAACACAAAACATTTTATTTACAAGGTTTGAACATTTCGGAATGCCCTCATTCCATTTTCAGCAAGTTCTAAAAATTGTGTTATGAAGATGATTATTAACTAAACCTATAATATCACAATCACTAGTTTACTTAGTTTTTAAGAGAAGTGGTAAACAGAAGGATAGAACAAAAAACAAAGAATATTGAAATATTGCACAACAGTTAAGTTTAAATGTGAAAATTTTGAACAATTTTAGAACTAAAGAACTTTGTGAGTCATTAAGAGTTTTCTTTAATGTAAAGTTCAAAACTGGATACCTTCTCCATCCTATTCTCTCAGCTGTAGGCTCTTGCAATTACAGCCTGTGAAAAGTAATCATTCCTATCCATAAAACCCTCACCTTGAACAGATTTATGATTACTGATTCTTTTATCTTTACTTCTGAAATCTCTTAAATTCCCTTTGCTGATCAATATGTTACGACCAGTTTTGATATTGAATCTCTCTATGCCAATATTACCCTTGATGAAACTTTAAATTTAATCTTGGTTTCACCCATAAACAATTCTTGGAAATTCTTGTCTTCTCCACAAAGTTAAACCATTTCCTTTTTAATGATGTCATTTATGACCAGGTAGATGGAACTGCCATGGAATCCCTGCTGGGTCCAATAATAGCCAACATTTCTCTATGCTATAATGAATGCAAGTGGCTAGAAAACTACCCATGTGAATTCAAACGTGTCTTTTACAAATGCTATATCAGTTACACTTTTTTGCTGTTTCGACAATCAAGTCATGTTTTTAAGTTCCTTCCTTACCTTAATTCCCAATACCCCAATATCAAGTTCACATCCAAACTTCATGAAAATGATTCCTTACCATTTCTAGATGTTAGGATCACCAAAGAACATTTTTCTACCTCTTGTTTATCATAAAATAACTTTTACTGACCTCTACACCAATTTTAATAGTTTTATCCCCAACTTCTTCAAACATAATCTGGATATATCATTGTTAACTCTTTCAGCAAAGGCTCGGTCCCTAGAACCAACCACGTAACCATATTGTGCTTGTTATAGTTTGCATGCTATAACTTTTAAAATAATATGTGTATGTTAATGAAATTTGGCAGATTATCAGAAAACATTACATTGCTTTCATACACAAAATATAAATTTTTTATTAAGTCTTAAGGTTTGTCAAGCAATGTTTTTCTCATACCTTTTTCTTTTTATTTTTGCATGTTGCCTATCCAACATACAAAGTAATTTTCATTTTAAGATTAAAAATACTTTTGTGCATCCAAAAAATTTTAAATTTCAATTTGCAAAA